TTTCTCAACTTGAGCCTTAAACTCCGTGAACTTTTTAAAAGCTTCAAACTTGTCCTTCATTAGGTACACATAACCAAATCTAGAATGGTCATTTCTAAATGTAATGAAATATTTCTAGCTAGTGTGTTTAAGGGTCTACATACATCCAAATGTATTAGCCCTAGGAACACACCTATTCTTTCATGCTTTTTAGTAAAGGGAGTCTTAGTCATCTTACCAAGGAGACAACATTCACAAGTTTCATATGATTCATAATCAAATGGATCTAGATAACCTTGTTTATATAACTTGGCTATCCTTATCTCATTGATATGACAAAATCTGCAATGTCAGATATAAGTTTGTCTTGGATTATCTGTTGTAGCTTTCTTGATATCTATATTAAGAATTGGGCTATCAAGATCCATAACATAAAATCTTCCATGACATGTTGCGGTCCATAAAAAATATCATTTAGAATCAAAGTGCAATGATTACCCTTCATACTAAATTAAAAATCATCATTCTTAGCTACGTATGAAACCAAAATGATGTTTCGAGTTAATGTTGGTACACAATAGCACTATTTTAGCTTTAGCACTAAGCCTGATAGTAAACTAAGATCACAAGTCCTAACAGTAATTGCTACAATTTTTGCACTATTGCTCACTCTTAAGACTACCTTAATTTTACAAAGCTTTCCACTATCCTTTAAGGCTTTTATGTCAATACATAAATGCGTTCCACATCCTAAATCTATTATCCAAGATTTAGGATTGGTGGTAGAAAGGTTAAGCTCAATTCTATTTAAAGTAATCTTTTTACTTGTCAAGATTACACCTTTCTTTTTATTGTGAACTTTTCTCGAGGTGATATATCAATCTAAACATTTTGGGTTGATGGCATCAAGTATGCCAAGCAAAGTAGAAATTATCATTATACCCATTTTAACAACCTATAAATATAGAAAAAGTATTTGCATTAGTTTTTCATGCTATTAATCAATTTAAGACAAGGTATTAAATCTTGCATTGGTTTTCCCACTAATTTTTTGTAACAATAGCCCTCGCTATTACATAGAATTCTCTACTAGACATTTCTTGTAGGCTAAGACCCCTTTCAACTTATTGCAACCTTGAGTGACTTAACAAACCACAATAAGCCTAATTAGGTATATAACATAGTTTATCGATTGCATCTCCATGCAACTCCCAGATCAGATTGGTGACAATTCCTTATCTAAATGCATTATTTGCATTTTGCCTGATTATGCCTTTAATACCATGTGGTCAAGTGTGACACATCCGAACAACACAGTTGAGTAAAACCCACCTATAGCTCAAACGTACTCATGTAAAAGTTTGGCCTTAAGTGACTTAACAAACCTCTAATCAAAAAAGCAACCTCGGCTATCTTGTTTTATGATTTTCTTTCTTTCCTTTGATTAGTCAAAGTTTCCCAAACTATAACCAATTGGGGCAACACAAGGACTCTTTCTAGGCCCTAAAATGGTAGCTAAATACCAATCAAGGTGGCTAACAATTACAAGTTGGAATTTCACCACAACCACTCTATGACCAATTGGGGTAGCATAGGGACTCCTTTCTAGGCCTTAAAGTGGCAGCTAAACACCAATCAAGGTGGCTAACAATTACAAGTTGGAATTTCACCACAACCACAATACCTTGGGTATTGCATATCCTTAAAAATTTGTCTATTTATGAAACTTTTTCATGGACAGCCATTACTTGAATTTTTTGACCCATATACTAAAACAATTTGGCATATTTTTTGAAGCTGGAAATTACTCAAAGTAATATCAATGAACCCCATGATTTATCACCATTCAAGCTCAAACTCACATAAAACTATTTTAATTTGAACTCTAACTTTTCAACTTGCAAAAACTTGGTTGAAATTATTATTCAAACACTTAACAACAAGTATTAAATCATGATTAATATACTGGAGTTAAATCCTAAAATTTTCCAAAACAATTTTTATAATTTGGGCACATGTATCAGTTTTGACTAGGAATTTCGGCAAAATAACTTTTGTCAATTTAGTAACAACCAATGCATTTAATCCAATCAAAGGACCACAATAAGGACGCTCTAATACCAATTGAAGAGTTTTGAGCATTCAATAATGTACTGGAATATAAACAATTTGGCATATTTTTAGAAAAGTCTCACCTCTTAAAGATTATTTGTTTTTGGCTGTAAAGGAAGACAAGAAAATTTTTTCTTAAGAAAACGACGCCTAAGGCTTGGGTTTTTCTCTTTTATTTTTCCATCATCTTTTTGCACTTCTTTCTTACAAAGTGTGGCACACATATAAAAGGTCTTTGTAGTTAGGTTAAAATGCTTATCCAATTTTGGTATAATGCATTTTAATCCTTACACTTAATTAAACAATTTAATTAAGTCCAAATTGGAAATTCTTAATTTTCAAATAAATACCAATGCCATTTTAATTTCACATTGTTAGCTTATTGTGTGTGATCCATTAGGTCCCCAATATGTTGGAAAAAAATATAAATCAATTCAATTAAGAATTTATATTTATATTTATAAATCATGAGTGACATCTAGCAATACATATTAGTCATGCAGCTTCCATATTGACCTATTATGCTTATCCAATTATGCTTTGACTAACCTTTTAGTGTACAATATCTCAATATAATTCGATACTTTCATCATATATATCAAATAGATAAAAAGCTTAGCTCATATTTACTTTCTAACTTATCCATATTAATCATGCAACTTCCATATTGACCTATCAAAATTGTCTTGGTTAAGGACTTTCAGTCAATATGAAGTAGGAGCAAATGAGATATGTCCCTTTCAAATACTTGGGATAGTGAATCCTCTTTAAACTACTCATTCATCTTTATATGCTTCATGTCATACCTAAAAGCACTCTATTTAGGCATCTAACCACCTTTAGACCAATAAAGGTGAAAGCAAAGCATGACCTTTCACATACAAGATGACTAGATATCACAAGTCTAAAAATTACTTACACTATTAACACATGAAAGTATTTCCATAAACACTTGAGTAAATTTCCAAATTGAACTCTCATAGCAAATCATGTTTAGTGAACTTGTTCCTTAATAAGCACCTATATACCATAGGTGTGAAATCAAAGCATGACAATTCACATACAAGATGACTTGGTATCACAAGTCTAAAAATTATTTACGCTAGTAACATATGAAAGTATTTCCATAGACCCTTGAGTGAAATATCAAATGGAACTCTCATAGCGAGTCATGTTCAATGAACTTATTCCTTAACAAGCACCAACATACTATCCCCAAGTATCTCACATACTTTAACTTATGAGATCAACTGCTTACTTCCAAAGTAAGAAGACTTAACACATACTATATTTTAAGCATTATTAATGCCTTTATTCTTGAAAATACAATGAATAGGAACACATTTGGAAACAAGGTTTTAATGCATAAGAATCTCATAATTATAAATTTTATAATTTCTTTGCAACGCCATTATGTTTCAAGGACTTTATCTACATAAGTCTCTCATAACTCTTCATAAATAAACTTATGGATAAAGAAATACCTCACACATTATATAAAATATCTATAATGTATTTAATATGAAATATAACTAATTAATGCAGTGTTTTACAAACACAAAATCAATTGCAAGGCTTACACTAACAATTAAGACCTAACAAATATGATCCCTATATTTATAAATTAGTTGATGGAATCATGAAAATTGGTTATAATGTTTGAAATTGGATGTTCCTAAACTTATTAGGTGACAAAATTATTTTAAAAATGATCTCTTTATCGATAAACACACCATTGCTAAAACTACTATTGAAAGGGCAAAAATAAGAAATTAATTTGTAAAGAATCCTAAGGTTTGTGTGTGGCAGGGACTTTGGTGAAATGCTTGATGTTTACTATCCAACGGAGCCACATTTACCAATCCAATGCCATTGTGACCTCTTAAGAGTCAAGTATTGGAAGTATCGTCAGCATGATCAAATAGATACATTAGGGATAATAAAAACTAACCCCTTTTTCAAAAATAAATTTTCTTACGTCAAAATCAAATTTTCCTTTGCAACTCTTCATTCTTTGATTTTACAAGTTTCCATCCTTTTATTGCAAAAGATTCTTAACCTTTAAAGGAGGTTTCAAAACAATTTCAACATACTCGATTCACCCCCTCTTGAGTTTTTTCCCTTTGATCTAACATTTGTCATTTTTAAATATTTTTTACTATAATTAATAATAAAATTCATTTATTTTGTAAATAATTTTAAATGCTTAGAATGCCTTCCATTAAAATATGTACTTTAATTATAATAGTGTTGAATAATTTATATATTAATATTACAATATATTCAAAATTTATATTTTAAAAATAGTTTTACTTATATATAATATTTAAAAATAAATAAAAAAAGTATTTATGTGCAGCGTTACAAAATTTCAACTATTTATATTTCAAATTTTAGAATTTAGAAATATATATTTAAATATAATTATTATTCTTAAAGTAAACAAAAATACAAATTTTTGTATGCAACGCATGACAAGTATCTGTCTATAATCTATATTTTAAATGATATGCAAACGAACATATTTTAACATTATATTTTCAAATTATCATTTAAAATAATTTTTTATTATAAATATTAATAAAATTTATCCAATTGAATAAAAATTATCATTGCAGCATAAAATTCCTTTCGAGTCAACAAATTACAGTAATCACCACACGCATA